GTGTGTCCTCAGTACCTGCTCTGTGCTGGGCATGGCTGTAACCACAACAGGGAGTGGGCTGGAACGGATCCCCCCCCGGTACAGTGCACATTTCTGGGTGCGGAACTGGACCATTGAGAGCAACTAATTGAATATGTGGCTTGTTGCCAAGGAGTGGGTGCTGTGAAGTGGAATAAAGCAGGGGCCAGGGGCACAGATGTGAGAGGGTGGGTTACTATTTTATTTTATTTTATTTTATTTTATTTTATTTTATTTTTTATTGTATTCTGTTCTTTTTCTTCTTTCTTTCTCTTTCTTTCTTTCTTTCTTTCTTTCTTTCTTTCTTTCTTTCTTTCTTTTTTTCTTTCAAGAGCACCAGCGGGGTGCAGAGACAGAGAGAGAGAATCCAAAGGAGGCTCCGCACTGTCATCACAGAGCCCGATGTGAGGCTCAAGACCACAAACCGTGAGATCGTGACCTGAGCCCAAACCAAGAGTCGGATGCTTAACCGACTGAGCCACCCAGGTGCCTCTGGGTGGGTTGCGGTTTTAGAAAGAGGGATCAGGAAAGTACTCAGTTTGACTGTTACGTTTGAACCAACCTCATGAAAGAAACAGCTCTGAGAAAGTCTGAGCAAGCCTTTGGACGGAGGGAGCGTACAAGTGTAGCAAGCCTGCGGCCAGAGGGAGCCTCATGTATTGTGCAAACGCGGGTTGGAGGGGCCAAAAGATGGCCTTTGAGTCACGAAACTGGAAAGTGACAGGTCCAGGACTCACACCAGCAGTGCAGTTTGGGCCTCTAACCACCACGCCACGCCGGGAGAGGGTGAGGAAACCAGTTGGGGGGTTGCCCCAGTGGTTGAGCCCAGATGGCAGTGGTGCAGAACAGGTACAAACAGAGGAGGGAAGGAAGTCGGAGTCAGAACCAGGGGACGGGATGTGGCCGGAGGAAGACAGGCGTCCAGAAAAGTCCCCCGTGTTTGGATCCGAACCCTGAAAGGAAGGTGCAGGTATTATCAGTGGGGACGAAGCATGTCTGAAAGGGAGCACCAGGATTCCCGCTGTGAATCCGCGAAGTTTGGGTTGCCTGTCGCTCGTCTAGTTAGTGAGGACCTGTTGGTCATAAAAATGAGTGTCATGTGCCAGTCTGAAAGCCCACTGGGTGGTTGTAACATCCTTGGCAGTACAACATCTAAAATATATTTTGGAGAGTGCCTTTGCGAATTAATTTGACAGACCAGTGGACTTCCATTTGGTTTACTGTCAGTGGTGGACACTGTCCGGCATCCTACAGCAACATGGGGCATCTCTGGGTCCCCACGCGCTTGTCCGCTGTCCACTGAGGGCCAGCTCTGCACTCTGCAGACACAGATTCTGGGGCAGCATCCCAGAAAACCCTGTGTTTTTATTAAGCTTCCCAAGAAATTCTGATGTACACATGGGTTTAGAAACTACCACCAGGGAGCTGAGGATCTTTGGTTTGACCATGCACAGCCTGCTCTCTCCACAAATATTAAAATGGAAGGGGGGCAGAGAGCATCACAGAATGGAGAAATAAAACCAACGCAGATGTGAAATTTTGGTGCCGCCATTCACTTTTCTGTCTAGGCAATTGTCCTGTCGTTTCCCGGTTGTATAGGTGGCTGTGGTGACATTTAATTCTCCACAAACGCAACAAGAATCACTCATCTACATTAAGATAATGTCTAAGACATTAAACTCTCTAATTTCATCTTGGAATTATTAGACCTTTGAAGGGTGCACATGTGTGTGGGGGGTGGAATTCATGAAAATTATGGGGAATAATTTAACGATTAACATTGGTGTATATTTTTATTATCAAATATACTTAATAACTGTGTATGTCTTCATATTACTTTGCAAATGACCAAACGTTCAGTACAGATCATTATTGCAAGACTTTTCTGGTAATTAAGTTTTTTAGAGAAGTTTATAGTTGCCTAGCTCTTACAAAAGAAAACTCCTGAAATAAGCATACTCCTATTCTTTGTGGTAAGACAAATATTCTGAGGTCACATGAGTTAGGATTGAGATGGAACATCAAATGGATAATGGAACACACACACACACACACACACACACACACACACACACAAAGCAGGATGGGGAGCAAGAGTTAAAAACACGGCAGAGAGGATTTCCAAAATACCAAGGGTTTTTATTAAGGTCAAAGCCATAAGGAAAGCAACTTGCCGAAGACAAAGAACTACAGAGGCTAACCCAAAGACAGGAAATATTTCCAGGAGCCATACAACAAAGCATTTAACCAAAAGTGTACAAAATCCAAGATGATCCTGGGAAAGTTACAGGAATGAACCAGAGTTACAGTTAAATGGTCCTTACTGATCTGGGTCACACGAGGTGCTCCGGTGACCAATCTAGTTATTGGTGGCGGAAGAACCACGATCCTGGTCTTGTCCCAGCCTGGAAATCTTTCCGCTGTGAAGTTCGCATTCTCCCTGATGCTACGATGCCTGTGGACGATGATGTATGCTTTAATTATTATAAACAAACGCCAACACTTGGAGAAATGTACAAAAAGCAAAATACTAAACTAATGGCTAGAGTCCCATCCTTGGTAACAGCCTTCAAAAATCTAGTGCCAGGATATACTCTGCATGTATCTTACTACCTTTAGTATAAAAACAACCAAATGAAACAAAAAAAATCAACTATTTTGAACGGGCTGCTTGTGAACTTTGTTAACGGATCGATCCCCTTTTTAAACAGAAGAAAC